AAACTTTCTTATTTTCTTGATTTGTTTGTTTGTTATTACATTTTATTTACATCACCAGAATGTCTTAAGGATTAAGGGACTGGGGAAATGCATTTCATTCACTCACCCTTGTGTCTTATCTCTACTGGTTAAATCTTTAGCAGCCTTTATCCACATGTTACTGCAGTCTTCTTGGCAAACAGTCAGAAAGTGGCAAACCATCTGCCCTATGAAAGATTTCCTGTCAACATTTTTCATCATCTCACCTGTTAGTAATTGATGATGTTTCCTGAAAATGAAAAGCAAAATGCAACATAGGCCATAAAGGAGAGCAACAATCAGTCAGCTTGTCCCACTGATCTATAGCTACCGAGTTCAAATGTTGTTGTGTATAAAATAAACACAGGATGTAGTTTCTAATTTTAGTCTGTGGAAATGAGTTTATTTATTTAAGTGGTTTGAATATTAGTCATTTAGGCTTGTGAGCCTTTAGTAATAATGTCATTCCAACCTGACCCTTTTTTTGACCTGTTATTTATTTATTTATTTTTTTCCTGAATGGATATTTACATAATGTTCTATTCTTAGATTTATTGTATTTTAGTGGTTTGGAGTCTTCTACGGGTACATTTTTTGAGCATTTTACAAGAAAAAAAGAAAGAATTTAGGACATGTCAGAAAAAAAAAACAGAGTATCGTTTTGCATTAATCATGTTGTGATGTTTGGAACTGCTTTTTCAGAGGTCAGAGGTCTTCTGGTGTCTGAAAGGTTACTGTAACATCATATGCTGGGTGTGGATGTGTCCATAAGGGGAAATTATTTTCAGTTTAAATGGAAACAAGAACAAGAATTCCTTTGGACAGACTCCTACTGTCGCTGTACAGATGACAGGAAAACTTGAACTTGAACTTCAACAATCGCCAGTGTTTACAGCCGAGTGCAGAACTGTACTCAATCAAGCTGTTCACCGAAAGAGGTGAGCCACATTGGTTGCAAAAGAGTCAAAATGTTGAGTAGGGCACTTCCAGTTCTGTCCTTCCAGTGACAATTACAAAACACTGTGGCTACACAGCTTTGCCTTTTTTTAGTCCGTGAGAGTCGCTTAACTAGACTGACATGCACTAGGTTAATTTCCTCTTGCATCTTTTTTGGCACCATAGTGAGAAAGTAGTTGATGACTAACAGCAGATGACAGAGATACGATCAGGTATCACTTGACAGAACAGTGAGCTTCTTGAGACAGCACCCAAATATTTTGTCACTTAGGTGAACGTGGGTCGCTGTTCTGATTGGTGCCATTTGGTGATTCAGCTGGGTTATATAAATTACTTTCTTACAGCAATAGAAGGAAAATTTGGAAATTATGAGTCATTTTGTGCCATTGTTACAAACACGCTTGCTTGTAGGGACGCTTTGGGTTTGTTGAGTTTTCCTTGGATACTATTGTAGTGTTTAATGTACTCGGGTAAATCTCCACAGTTAATATTACTGTAGGGTCTTAACCTTACAGTTGAATCTAATCAGGTGAATTTGTTTGTAGATTTATAACCCTAATATTTAATAGGTAAATTCACATTATAAATCACATAGAGTCTTAACCTTAATATTCAAACTTGTTGCAAATTCCCAACCTTATTTCTCTAAAGGGCAGCACTTTGGCTCAATAGCTTTTGTTTTGCTAACTTGACTTAACTTGACTCACTTGTATTTGTAAATTTTTTCATATATCTCATTTGTATAAACAATGTCCTCCTATTTTTTGCAACTCTGGTGTTGTCCAGTTGTCTGTGATACTATTTCCATCACTGTTTAGGCTGTCAGTCCAATCATGGCGGCTACTTAGATGATGAAAATGGAACATTAGCATGTACTGTATCTGTTTAGCCTTGGTTTACAACTAATCTACATAAATGCACAAATTTATATTTTCCATTTCACTTTGTCTTTGATTAGATGTATCCTTATTGACCGACAGTTAAGCAATCAAGTTAAGAAAACACTTCACTGACTATATTGTTAAGAAACAGGAAATACCCAAAGTTTAACATTCATGACGTGTTGCTTCTGAATCATAAAAATGCAAATCATTAAAACCTAAGACTGCTTTCTCTACAGATTTGATCAAACAGTTTCTATTTTTTATTTCTATTATCAAACTTATCTTTTAGCATATTTATTTATTTTGTGTGTGTGTGTGTGTATGTGTGTGTGTATTTCCCAGCTTTGCTCTGGTTCAGTGCAATTCAAGTAACACTATCAATGCCAGACTTGCAGTGACAACACGGTGAAGACTAAACCAAATGAGTCATCACGGCGCCAACAAGTCAGATCAAACATTCCACTGAGACGCTGCAGTTAAAAAAAGTAAAGATAGTCACATGACATGCTGATGAACAGATATTAACTCAACGTATTAACGATCCTTCTTTTCACATCGGGGCATAAAGACGGTTACTTTTAGACCTGCATGTACTGATAGTGTTGTAGACTCCCACAGATTTTATTTGGTGCCATTTCGGATATACAAATGATTGTATCTCTGCAAAACTCCCATCAGTTTTGCGGTACAAGAATATATATGAGTTCCAAATGATTTCACATGTTTTTTAGATTGTTCAAGACTACACAAGACTAAAATCCACTTTCCTGACACTTGTGTTTGTCTGATTAACATGTCCTGTAAAGTCTGAATATACAACACTGTCCTCATTCGCAGGTAAGTCTGGCAGAGCATCAAACTTCCCATTATTCTGAGTCTTTTTTATAACTTTTTAACCATGTTGGCACTGGAACTAAAGAATAAGTGGACTACAAATGGAGACTGTTTGATCAATCTGCTGTTTCAAGGTCAAGAAGGAACTGTGAATCATTGATATTTCCTTAAACAGAAGAACAAATGTATTCATTGTATACTGATATGTTGTTAAATTTGACTTTGTATGTAGTTAGTGCACATGAATAGGAACATTTTTAGTGATGTGGTTGTGAGATATAATGTTAGTTATGTATCTTTTACTTTAAATTCATGTGGTTCCTCATAAAGTGTCCCATCTGTTGTTAATTTTAAATGTTTTGTGGTGACCCAGGAAGAGTAGCTGATGTTCTGGGAGAAGCCTAACAAAACTATCAATGATTCTTGTGTCACTATAAAAACAAACATTGACATTAATTACCTATTTGAAAATGTCAGACTGCTGTCTGTTTCAACTTTTGGATGTTTTCAGAGGCCCTATTGTGACATTAACGTTACATCATAATGGAAAATCATGAAACATTTCAACAGACAAAGTCCGACTGATTGACAGGAAGTGTGCTTTGTGAGATTTCAATGCTCACAGCAGCAGTAATATAGTGCAAAGCAGCTAGAGACTATAGATATGTATGACACTTTCACTTTTGTTTGCAGAGGCATGTTAGAGTTATTGAAAAAAATACAATCTCAAGACAAAAAAAGGACAGTTTCATTGTGGACAGTGTAACTGTAAAGTATCGCTTACCAAGCATTGTTCATTGTATTCAAATAATCCTCTGTTCTTCCTTAAAATTGATAGAATTAAAAGCTCTTTTGTCATGTATTCTTGCCCAAAGATATCTTAAAATAGCCCAAGTGATATCTTCCAAGTGATGATAAATAAGTGGGGTTTTAATGATGTTCCAGGAAGACTGTTGCCTTCAGTTAATATCACAGATCTATTCCATTTAATTATCAGTCATTCATCCTTTTTAAAAGGGGGGGGGGCAGTCATTGTGCTGTTTAGTGCCATTGTGTGCACCTTACTGAGCTTGGACTAGATGAAGAAACAAGGATGTAAAGAAGAAATCACTAGGTATAGTGAAGGCGAACAAGTTTAAAGTGAGTGGTGCTGATAGCAGGCAACAGCGGCTACTTTTCCTCAGATGTTTTTAATTGATTAATTGGTGTTTCTAAATTGTCCATAGGTGTGAATGTGAGTGTGCTTGGTTGTCTGTCTCTAAGTGTAGCCCTGTGATAGACTGGTTACCTGTCCAGGGTGTCCCCTCACTTCGCCACGCTCCGCGACACTAGTGAGGTGTATAGATAATGGATGGATGGTCTTAATAGGAGTGTTGATAAAGAAAGGCAAATTCAAGTGGTTTGGAAACAAATCGGTTGTTTGTGACTACAAGGAAGTAGAAAAAGTGAGCTTCCCTCCAACGTGTCATGGTGTAGTTAGCACATTGGGTCAAGGTAAACGCTAAAAGGGCATTTCCAGGCAGCATGATGTCACATGACCGCAACTGTTACTATTATTAGGCTGCTTAAGGTCATTGAGTTTGTAACCAACCTCCATGAACGTTGCTCCAACAGGAAAACTTCTCGAATGGAATAATATTAACCACATATAACTTCAAAACAGAACTGAGCTACAGGAGACTAAAGAAGCCAGAAAGACCAAACTTTTGATAGCAACAGGTTATGGTTGGTCCAACGTGATAATGTTTCGAACATATGCTTAACAATATGAGTCCTGATCTAATCTAATTTAACATCTACGGAAAGAGCTGAAAGTTATTGTTGGAATAATGAAGCCATCAAACCTGAGCAGACTTGGAGAAGTTCAATCAAGAAGAGACGGCCAAACTAGCATTTGAGAAGTGCAGTTAGTGTCTCAAGTCTAACTTAAAGCTCTTCTGTTATCTCAAAAGGTTGTTACATCGATTTTCTTTTGTTGCACTATGTAAACTAATACGTTGCAATAAAAACCAAAAGCAACATGTCCACTATATTAAATATAGAACAGGTGTATGCCAATTACTTTTGTCAGTTTCATCCTTTTTCAGAGAATATTGTGTCTTTTTTTTTTTTAAGTGAAAGGGTAGTGCTAATCGTGGCTATATCTGGATTTCCGTGTGTCTGGTCATGCTTTTGAGTTCTGTACTTGTTTGGCTTGTTTGGGCATTTTATCTGTACAGCTCATGAAGGAGGCTTATCTTTTATCAAACCGCAAACAGACTCAACTAAAATTGACACCAAGGGTTGCATGTATGTCTCTCAGGTGACCTCAAACTGTCTGAGTCGTTATGCCCACTATCTCATCATCTTGAGGAAGCTGGTTAAAAAAACGGTTGTTGTACTGGTGCTGGTGTCCCTTCTGATGCGTAACAACACTTAACTGTTGTTAGTCAGCCAGCGTTTGATTATGGAGATTATTTCTCCAAATGAATACTAATAAACCAAAACAAATGTGGTCCCTGAAATAATTAAGCATCTGACATCCCATCATGCTGAGGGTCATGCATGAAAGCACCGCTGTTGCAGTGGGAGGTGGAGGGGGAAAAAAACACAGCGATTTCTGTTGATCTCGCTGTCATGGTCTTTGTGTGTCTGACCCTTGTGACCATGCCTGAATACCTCCGCTGTCTCAAATGAGCTTTTCCTTTATGCAGGTCAAAGTCTTACTTTATGATTGACAAGTTTGAGTGATTGACCACCTGAAGAGGAGGAAGTGAGGAACTCCAATCAGCTGTGAGTGTCTACTAATAAGCACAGAAAAGCACAATTTTGTGCACTGCAGTGCAACAAACAAGTGTCTGGTTGGAAAATGTCATACAGTCAGATGAATCATTCACCAAAGGAAGTCCTTGTCTGGGTTTTGGTTTCTCATGGATGAGAGACGTGACAAGGGACATCATAGTTTATCCCACAGTTAAAGTACATTGAACCCCTTAAAGTGTGATGGTAAATACTTATAAACACACTCTGAGTTACGGTATTAATGCTTGTTCCCCCCCCCCCAGGATTAGAATACAGCTACAGAGCAGTAAAGCTGTGCTGCTGCCCTACTTCTGAATATATTTAGAATTTAAACCACTGAACATCACAGACATTATCAACTGCTGCTGCTGCTGGATATTGAACCCCTCAAAGCAGCATTATCTTCACAGACGTAATTACGCTTTTGCACATGCTTTCATTTCTTCCCTCTGATGTGATTCTCTCGGCGTGCTTCAGATTGGTCATCCGCTGTTGCGTTTGAAGAGAGCCATCGCTGTCCCCGCAGCCGGGCAGGGTGGGGAATCAGTGTTGCAAGTGTTTCACCAGAAAGCTGTGTGGAAGTGAAACAGCTTTCAGTAGCTCAGCGACATGAGGCCGAGGCAGATTCAGGGGAAGTCAGACTGACAGGTTCCTATTATTCAGTCCCCCGTCCCCAGACAGAAGTCCCTGCTGCAAGCGTCACACTTCAGTTCCTGGTGGGTTTCACTTTGGTCAGCAGGAACCTTTAACACACTACACCAACTGCACTGTCCTGTTTTTATAGAGTAATAAATGATGAAATGTCCCAATGCAGATCCTTCCAAATGATCAACACAGTGATTATGGATGTAAAGTCCTGTGGAAATCCAGGTCATAGGACTCAGCTCATTCATATCGAATTGTAGTTCATCATATACAGCATATTTTTCTTACTTGTTAAGCTCCAATTACAGCAATTATAGTGCACATTAGCAATAACAGGTTGACGGATGCCAAAGATGCAAACTTAAATTTATTGTAAACACTAAAGCTTCCACCTGTCGTTAAACCTGCACATTACAAATGTGATGGTCATTATGTGTTTGATAAGACAAGGCATTTGTCTCCATCTAGTGGTCTACTGAACACTGTGATTTAGTATGGAGATTGTGTACAACAAAGATTGAGTGGGGACGCTGCAATTTAACTGTGAGGCATCACCTGGTGGAGCTGACAAAAAAAAAGAGCCTAGCTCACCACCTTTTTTTCCCCCATCTGTGCAGTTTGGTTTGTGGATCCAAATGAGTAGAGGCCATAGGAAGGTCAGTTTAGAAAATGAGTCCAGAGTGCACCATATATGAAACCAATATGCACTCAGTTTACCATCATGGTAAACAGACAGCAGTGACAGATTCTCACAGTTGAGAAGTTGGGACCAGAATAAGATCTGATGTAGTGAAAATTAATTTTTAGTATGTTTTGTTTGTCCTAAAAACTTGGAGGTTTAAATAAAAGCTGTGAGAATGTGTAAAAACTGGCTAACCAATAGTGGTTAACCTGAAAATGAACATGTTCCTGAAATCTCACTGCGTGCTGCTTCCAGGTGAGCCATTTAGAATGAGCAGCTGCCTCACCGTCCATTCAGTTAATTTGCTTTCTGATACTGCTTCTGCGAACTTTAAAACATCTCAGCTTGAGCAAAGCACACCAAATGTTCTGCTGTGAATACTGATCTAAGAGTAAATACAAGAGACTTGCTTACTTACACCGATGGTGATGTCCCCAAAGCATCAGCAACATCCTTAGTGTTAGCACGTGTAAAGCAGCTAATGTTACCACTGCAGTTTTAATCGTGCCCACGGGTCAGAGCTCTGTGCAATTGTAAAACTGAAGGACATTCAGGGATGGTGAAAACAAAGAACCGATGGGCGTCTTTGTATTTATGTCAATCGTTGTGATTCTGCATCCTAAACCCAGCTGGTGTTAACATTATGCTTCTCTCCTGCTCCCTGTGCTCACACATAGGCTACTGTATTTCAATACAGTTGAATTCCCAACAAAAATGTCATTTACACATTTTTGTGTATGAAAACGCAGCCCATTAAGACTACATGTTAACTGGCGGTCATTTCAGTCATTTCCAAGCTGCTGCTAAACTACTGATTTTACGATGTTATCTGAAAGAATCGCTGCAGGGTGGCGCAGTTGGTTAGCACTGTTGCCTTGCAGCAAGAAGGTTGCCTGTTCACGTCCCGGTGGGGGCACCGTAATCTTTCTGCGTGGCGTTTGAATCTTTTTGCGTGGAGTTTGCATGTTCTCCCCGTGCAGCGTGGGTTCTCTCCGGGTTCTCCGGCTTCCTCCCACACAGTCCAAAAACATGTTGAGGTTAATTGGTGGTTCTAAATTGTCCGTAGGTGTGAATGTGAGTGTGCTTGGTTGTCTGTCTCTAAGTGGGGCCCTGCGATGGACTGGTGACCTGTCCAGGGTGTTCCCTGCCTTTGCCCTAAGTCAGCTGGGATGGACTCCAGTCCCCCTGCGACCCTCGTGAGGATTAAGCGGTGTGTAGATAATGGATGGATGGATCTGAAAGAATCACCACACACACGAGTTAAAGGCAACAACTGTGATGACGATTCAGATGCAATACGATGTCAAACGATCACTCAGGGAGAAGTCCTGCTCTCACACACGTATTCACATCCTTGTCACTTGTTGTGCAATCAGCTGTTTTGCTCCATGCTGTCAATCACAGGTGCACAGAGATTCTTCTTCCTGGAGAGACAGCAACAGCTCAGCAACATTTAAAGATACAGGCACTGAAACAGCCCATTTAAAACATGACTAAAACCACAGATTATGTTGAAATTAAGTGTCTTTGCAGTATTTTGAGTTCAAAGACTGAATGACAGATGCTGGGGACACGTGAGACTTGCCAAAAAGTTGTAGAATACACACACTTTTGTTCTCATGAGCAATACAAACACAATATTTGTGGTAATGTTTCCAGTATACCTAAAGGCCATAGGACGCATCCTATTGCTGTGTAATAGGCCTAATTAGTATGCAGCTTTACAGATATTCTGTTGTAAGGTTTGACTTACAGTAAATGATGAAAACGATGTAAAATATTCATCATGAAGGATATAGCTGGCTGCAGGGTCTCCCTCTTTGTTTTCTACACAAACACACTCACAGCACACTGACTGGGAGGAAGCTGTAAGAGAAATGCTGTTGGGTTGTTAGATTATAAGATAGCAAAAAAAGAAAAAAAAAAAAACACTCTTTCATCACCTCTGCTGTATTTTTAAAGCCTCTGTATTAAAGCAGTGAAAGTATTGCCACAGGAGGAGTTAATCTTTTGGAGTTTCTGTGCAGAGACAGTGTAAACTTTCCTCCGCCCCAGTTGGGAAGAAAGAACAGTTTGTGGCAGTCAGCAGAGACTCGGTTATCTCCCACCCACTGCGAACTCTGCCACTCGTGTCTCCCCAAACCCAAAGTCCCGGGGCATTATCTCTGCCTCTGCTGCTCACATTACGTCGACCTGCTGGGGCTTCGCTGCCTCTGAGCCCTCCTTCTCCGCCCGCCCCTGTCCATCCATCCTTCCTTCCTTCTTTCGTCCTGCTGTGCACCTTCCTTCAATCACTTCCTGCTTCCCTGCTCCCCCCTGTCCCTTTTCCTGCAATGTTTGTGCTTAGACTTAATTTCGTTCTCTACTCCTTCCTTTCTCTCCTTTCCTTCCTGCCAACCCCCCCTCAATAGTCTCACCCCTCAATTCATTGTAAAGTCTCCACAAATCCTTCTCTTTCTCATTACTGACTCCCACCGTTACTTCTCTCCCCATTTCTTAATCCCCCTCTGCACTCCTTTTTCTAATTAGAGATTCCTTATTTTCGTTCCTTCATCTTCTCCCACTGTGTGACCTTCTCTGTCAAACCGCTTCCCTCCAATCCTATCCCATCCCATCCTAACCTATCCTATCCTACACTATCCTATCCCATCTCTCCAGAGTATTAAGCCCATGCTGAGTTGCACCTGGCCAGAAATACAATCAGATAATGCTGGACCAATCAGACTTTTAGTTCCCTGCAGAATCGCCTGCACAGAGTGACTACACTCTGCAGATGCACGCACAAAATGTGAGATCTAAGGTCTGTGTAAGGCCTAAGAAAGGTTTTGTGCATGCATCATGACAAGAAACACGCACATTTACATTCATACATAAAGTTAACAAAATAATATAAGACATGTACAGAGTAGAAACGTGGCCAAGAAACATCATGACCTCCTGTTTCTGTCACAAACCTGGAGAAACAGTTAGAAATGCACCTGAGTTTCATGTTTTGCAATTAAACAACACACTCATAATTGCTTTAGGTGTCCAGTGAGAGGCTCCAGAAGAGGAAAAAAGGTGCAATACACTGAGTTAGTGTGATGAAAACATGATTAGATTGTTCTATCTCACCCAAAGGAGCACCGGTTGAATACATTTTTTCCCCCCCTCAGTGTACTGAAACAGAAAATGTTACAATTCTCATTTCCTATTTTATCCAACAGTTAGCTGTTGGGAAAACTGTGCCCACATTTTACTCCCTACT